TATGACAAAATCGGTCTCGAAATGACAAAATCGGTAAAGAGCTACCGGATATGTTGAAAGTGTCGATACTTTATTATAAGTATCGACACTTTTGGAATTAAAAAAAAAAGAAGTTATAGCGCCAATAAAGTGTCGATACTTTATAAAAATGTTTCGATCTATAAAAATATAACAGGTAAAAAAATGACAAAACCGGTCTATAAATGACAAAACAGATAAAGCGCTACCAGATATGTTGATAGTGTCGACACTTTTGAAATTTAAAAGTAAAGAAGTTATAGCGCTAATAAAGTGTCGATACTTTATAAAAATGTATCGATCCATAACAATATAACAAGTAAAAATATGACAAAACCGGTTTCGAAATGACAAAACCGGTAAAGAACTACCGAATATGTTGAAAGTGTCGATATTTTATTATAAATATCGACACTTTTGGAATTTAAAAGAAAAGAAGTTATAGCGCCAATAAAGTGTCGATACTTTATAAAAATGTATCGATCCATAACAATATAACATGTAAAAAATGACAAAACCGGTCTATAAATGACAAAACAGGTAAAGCGCTATTAGATATGTTGATAGTATCGATACTTTATTATAAGTATCTACACTTTTGAAATTTAAAAGAAAAGAAGTTATAGCGTTAATAAAGTGTCGATACTTTATAAAAATGTATCGATCCATAATAATATAACAGATAAAAATATGACAAAACCAGTTTCGAAATGACAAAACCGATAAAGAGCTACCGGATATGTTGAAAGTGTCGATACTTTATTATAAGTACCGACACTTTTGAAATTTAAAAGAAAAGAAGTTATAGCGCCAATAAAGTGTCTATACTTTATAAAAATGTATCGATCCATAACAATATAACAGGTAAAAATATGACAAAATCAGTAGTAAAAAAGTGTGATTGTGTGGTCATTTTTATTTCTGAATTTTCATTTTTTAATACAAAAAGTTAGATATTTTAAGCAAAATCCAGTAAAAAAGAACAAAAACTTTGCAGTAACAAAATAATAACATTGAGAAACCCACCATTTTATCAGTTTCTCAAAGAACAAAAACCCAGAAACAGGTAAATTTACAATGTAACCGGTAAAAATATACTGGTTAATTAGTAAATAGGTTTACCTTATGTATCGACACTCTTTAAACATATGTCGATATTTTTTTCCCAAAATGAAAGCAAAATAAGGTGCACGCATAAAGTATCGATACATTTAAAATTGTATCAATCCCAAAAACATCAAAACCGATAATTATAATGTAATAAGTAAATTTTTAATATTACCGGTTTAAATATACATGTTTAGTTAGAAAATATGTCAATATAAACGTTACCTATTACATTATATAAACGTTGCTTAATATATTATTGTACTTGATAATATTTCCAATTAAATGATATAACATAACTGATTTAAATTTTAACCGATCATATTATTTTTTAACCGTTTTTTAAGGTCCGCACCTAAGAAGTTCCCCTCTTTTCCATCAAACCAATTTCACTCCCTTTCTCTTTTTCCCTCCTTCCGTTTGGCTTTGGATTAGAGTTTTCTCTCTCTTTCTTTCCCTCCAAACACTGTTATCCCTTTCATTTACATTGATCCAGCGGGAACTCATGATTTTTCTTCTTATTTTGCTTTGTTTTTTATGATTGTATGTTTCGGAATTGAAATAGGAATGCTCGTAAAGAAAGCATGAGCTAGAACCCATTTGGTAGCAACAACAGAAAGTTAGACGACGGCGATTTGACTCAAGAAGAGTCGGGACAACGAAAAGGGTGAGAAGTAGTTGAAGTAAACGAAGAAGAGTGTTTTTACGATTCCCTTGACCACATTACTTCTTATAATTCTTGTTCGAACTTGTTGAGAGTTACTGCACTCATATGTATGCAACAGTCCCAGAGGTGTTTCCATGCATGCTCATGCATGATATAGTTGAGATGGTTCTAGAATTAATAAGTCTAGAAGCTAATTGGTTATAACAAAATATTGTTAAACGGTTTTTAAAACTTTGTAAAACTGTTATATAAACTAGAAGAACGTGAGGCTTGTGATTAGCTTTAGTAATCATCTTTGCTGATTGAATAAAGAAAGTGTATAAATTCTTAAAGGTTTCTCTAATATATTCAACATGACAGCATTCTCACGTGGTATCGCTAAAAGATCTTGGCATCGTTTTATCTTCCGTTGTTGCGCTTTCTTCCTTCTATTATTGTGTACATATTCTGCAGAAAACAGATTTGTTTTCCCCTTGTTTTATCTTTTCAACTGCATTCTTCTTCTTCAAGTATTTTTCAGAGATCTACTGAAATGATTAAACTCTGTGTACTTACCATTGCTTTACTCCTACTTCTTCAACTCGCCTTCGCCACTGATTCGCCCTAGCCTTCACTCGGACCGGACTTGTCTCCGCATCTCGCGCCTAGTCCTGACTCTCCACCAGCAATGAAGAAGATTCAGTCGCCGACGGTACTACGTTGCATATTTCTGCCGCTATCTTGTTTGCTCATCACGGTTTCCTTTTCTAACGATTCTTGGTCAGTTTGGTTATCATTATTAGTTCAAGAAAGAAAACCCAGTGGAAACAAGATTCTTAATGAAGAATATGTCGCCTACAAGCAGCAAGATTGTGCGTTGGCATCTTGGTTGCTCGCATCAATTAGTAGTGCGTTGGCATCTTGGTTGCTCGCATCAATTAGTCCCTCCATTTTACCAGGTTTGGTTCGGTGTAAGTCTTCCTTTGATATTTGGCAAAAGTTAGAGCAAATGTATTCTATTTCTTCCACCACCAGGATTACGCACTTATATTGTTCGCTGAAAAGCCTAAGAAAGCGAGATCACACCATGCGCGAATATCTTGACCAGATTCAAGCGATTTACGATAATTTGGCAATATGTGGCCATCCTTTATCTAAAACGGTGCACATATCAACAATATTATCTGATTTGCCTCTAGAATATGAATCGGTTGTGGCGGTCATAACATCTAGTCAACAACCGTATAAACTAGATGGGGTGTGCAGTGTGTTGCTCGACACAGAAGCTCGCCAGCAAGATCAACTAAGTCAAAATATATTTTCAGTTAACTTGGCGCAAGGTCAGATACAAAGTCCAGGTTCAATTCTTTGTCAACGTCAAAGTTTTAATTCATTAGGCCCCTCAACTCAATTGGTGGAAGGTAATACTGCTATTGTTCAAGGTCAGAGTTCTTTTTCTTCACCATCAGTTGTTCAGAATCAAGGGGTTCAACAAGGTTCTTATCATCAAGGCTCTAACCAAAACAATAATTCGTCTTATCAACAATCTCGCACATCGACACCACCGTATAGAGGAAGAGGAGGTCGTGGCCATGGTGGTTGCTCTCGTCATCAATGTCAACTATGCAGAAAGATCGGTCACTTAGTCAATCGATGCTACTACAGGTTCGATGTGATTTCAATTGTGTTTTTTAGTCTTAAGAGTAACAACCTTGCCTCGATTAATCATTGCTATTATGAGCATACTGAAGTTCAAAATATTGGCAATGGCTGCCTACAAAATTCTGTTCCAACTTTGGTAAATTCTGCAATTGCTACTATGCATGGGTCACCTGTTTTATCAGGAAATGTAAATGCAGCATGGTACCCTGATTCAGGGGCTATTAATCATCTGACACCAGATGAAAACAATGTCAATAACTTTGGTCCATATCATGGCCAAGAGATCGAAGGTCGAGAAATACAAGAACGGAAGGAAGCATCGGCACTTCCGATTCAAGTCGAATGGAAGGAGGCATCGGCATTACCGTTTCTGATTCAAGTCGAATGGAAGGAGGCATCGGCACTTCCGATTCAAGTCGAACGGAAGGAAGCATCGACACTTCCGATTTAAGTAGAACGGAAGGAAGCATCGGCACCTCCGAGTCAAGTCGAACGGAAGGAGGCATCGGTCCTTCCGAGTCAAGTCGAACGGAAGGAGGCATCAGCACTTCCGATTCAAGTCGAACGGAATGAGGCGTCGCACTTTCGATTCAAGTGTTCATTTTTTTTTTCATTAAGAAGGTTGAGAAAACAGGAAGAATGTTGAGAGTTACTGCACTCATATGTATGCAGCAGTCCCAGAGGTGCTTCCATGCATGATATAGTTGAGATGGTTCTAGAATTAATAAGTCTAAAAGCTAATTGGTTATAACATAATATTATTAAGCGGTTTTTAAAGCTTTGTAAAACTGTTATATAAACCGGAAGAACGTGAGACTTGTGGTGATTAACTTTAGTAATCATCTTTGCTGATTGAATAAAGAAAGTGCATAAGTTCTTAAAGGTTTCTCTGGCATGGCAGCATTCTCACAACTCAACTTCTCCTTCTTCTGACTCGGATTCTGACCCAATTACGGGTTCTAACAATGGCCACCACCCTTTCCCCGTCCCTAATTTTCCCAAGGTTGTTTCTCAATTCGACATATGGATCTCTGAACCCGCATCCGTTTCAGAAAGAAGAACACGCTTGCTCCGTGAAATGGGGCTCAGCCGCCACCCGGGTCTTTCCAGGATAAGACCCGGCTCAGAAACGGACGTCGGCGTGGGACGGGAAGTGGGTGGTGGTGGTACTGCTGAAGGAGAGCACGGAAGAAGGTCAGTTTCATCGAATCGGCTGGTAAACAAAGAGTTGGAAGAGCAAGATCGTGGAGGAGAAAAAGAGACATGTTCTGCTGCAATTGTACGATCGAAATCTGATGGTGATTGTAATGATGCTGCCGTTTCTTATCCTACTTTATCTCTTCGTTCCAATTCATCTTCTTCGACTCTTTCTGTTGGTTTAGGTACTACTTAAAATAATAACAACAACAATAGTGAATGCGATCAAAGTAATGCCGCGGGTGCTAACTTGAGACGCTGCGAAAGTAATGGATCTAAGCCACCCACAGGGCTTATTAGCAAGAGTTTGAATGTGGAATTTGGCTTTAAATCATTTGGTGACGGGGAGCCTATTGTGGTGGACGATGAAATGGATTGCTGTGAACAAGTGTGTACTATAAAAAACCTTGATAATGGAGAAGAGTTTGTGGTTAATGAGATTAGAGAAGATGGGACGTGGAACAAACTGAAGGAAGTCGGGACGGGGAGACAGTTGACAATGGAGGAGTTCGATGTTTGTGTTGGGCATTCTCCGATCGTTCAAGAGTTAATGAGAAGGCAGAATGTGGAAGAGGGTAATAAAGATAATGCCGATTAAATTTTCAGTGGTGGGGGTGTCGGTGTTTCAAAGTTGAAGAAGAAAGGAGCATGGTTTAAGAGTATAAAGAGCGTTGCAAATAGCGTGAAGAGTAATAAGGATAGGCGAAGCAGCGACGAGAGGTATACCTCGTCGGAGAAGGGTGGGAGGAGATCAAGTTCCGCCAGGATGTTTTGTTTCATGGGCCGGAGAGAGTGAGGGTCAAGCAGTATGGGAAACCATGTAAAGAGCTCACAGCTCTTTACGAGAGTCAAGAGATACAAGCGCATACAGGGTCTATTTGGAGCATTAAATTCAGTTCTGATGGAAAATTCCTTGCTAGTGCTGGTGAGGATCGTGTAATTCATGTATGGAAGGTAATTGAATCAGAGAGGAAAGGCGAGTTGTTGATGGAAAAGCCAGAAGATGGGAATTTGAGCTTTTTTCTTGTGGCTAATGGATCTCCGGAATCGACTCTGTCATTGCCGAGTTCTGATCTCCTTCATGAGAAGAAGAGAAGAGGAAGGTCATCGATAAGCCGGAAATCTATGAGCCTGGACCACATTGTGATGCCAGAGATTGTATTTGCATTTACAGACAAGCCTATTTGTTCTTTTCAAGGACATTTGGATGATGTGCTCGACCTCTCATGGTCCAAGTCTCAGGTTAGTCATCAATTTTTAATCCTATCAGGTGTTTGGAGAAGTATATGGATCACTATAGTTTGATTTGTTTGATTTTCAGGTTTTCAGTCTTAATATTATGGGGAAGAACCTTATTTAATGTTTCTATTTTTAGCCTTTACAAGCCTTATAAAACCATATCTCCTGGGTTATTGTAGTTGTCTATTTACTTGGATTTAGTTTATCTGTTAAATAGATGTGTTTTTTTTTCTTATACGGAGCATTTATGGTATATTTTCATGCTGGCACATGGTAGACAAAAAGAATGCATTTTTTTGTTTCTTCTCTGATCTCTGGCTCTGCGAGATGGATTTTCGGATCTTCTGGTGCAAATTTAAACCCAGAGTTGTATAGCATTATATCGATTTTTACTAGAACTAAATTTTTTAAGGGACTGAAGAAACTTTTGAGTTCGCATATCGCTAATAATAAATATGAGTTAAATGATTACAAATGTTTTTGGTTCTACCAACACATTTTTATAAACCTTCCTGAATGTTAATGGCATGTTTTCAGGAGTCATGCACATGATCAGTCATGATCTGGCTCTATATATTCCTTTTATATTTGTAGCAAGCTTTTCGAGAGGTTGTTGTTTGACCTTTTTTTTGGGTTTTCCCCTGCATCACTGCCTAGCTTCTTGTAGAATTATTTATGCAGGATATTCTGGTAAGATTTTTCTATTTTTTTTTCTTTTCAGCAATTGCTCTCATCTTCAATGGACAAAACAGTCAGGCTTTGGGACTTGACTAGCAAGACTTGTTTAAGAATATTTTCACACAGTGATTATGGTAAGTAAATTATCGTAACTTCGGAGTTTAACCTCATAATGTCCTTGTTAAAAACATCACTGAATTGTAGTCTTTTTTTTTTGGATAAATAGTTAGAATACATAGGAGCAGTGAATGATTTGAGATTTACTTTTGTTCTAATTAACTTTTTCTTGTCTCTTGAAATATATTTTTGTATTATTAATCATGCTTTATTTTTGTGGATTTGCCTGGCCACAGTAACTTGCATCCAGTTTAATCCAGTTGATGATAGATACTTCATTAGTGGATCCTTAGATGCTAAAGTTCGCATATGGAGCATTCCTGATTGTAAAGTTGTCGATTGGAATGATCTGCATGAAATGGTCACCGCTGCTTGTTATATGCCGGATGGCCAGGTTGGGAATGGTCATTCACAATTTCGTTCTATATAATATACGATGAGTAAGTAAAGTTCATGAAACTTGTAATTGTTTTGAAGGGTGCACTAGTTGGCTCATACAAAGGAAGCTGCCGTTTATACAATGCTTCTGGTATAAGTTTATGAATTCTCTCCCTCTCTCTCACGACTGCATACTCGTTCTTTATTTTATGGATGACGCTGTAGGAGTTTCTTAAATGTTTTTCATTTATGCATCTTTTTCCAGATAACAAGTTGCAACAGAAAAGTCAAATCAATTTGCTGAATAAAAAGAAGAGATCTGATCAAAGGAAAATTACTGGTTTCCAGGTAATCCCGTGCCCCTGCTGCTTCAATTTCTGTGTCTAAATATTGAAGGCATATTTCTTACTTGTAACCTTTTTGTTTCTTTTTTGTTCCCTGTATGCTTCCCCCTGCTGGTTACTTTCTCAAACAGTTTGCACCAGGAAGTTTGTCAGAAGTACTTGTTACATCTGCAGATTCGCGAATTCGGGTTGTTGATGGTTCTGATCTAATTCACAAGTTTAAAGGTAATTTATCCTATGATATAAATATTCGCGTGACACTGGAATTATGCTGATGCCACTGATGATGTTGACTGTACATGACAGGATTTCGGAACTCAAACAGCCAAATCTCAGCTTCTGTTACGGCAAATGGAAAATATATTGTCTGCGCTAGTGAGGACTCTAATGTGTATGTGTGGAAACACGAAGTAGAATCTAGGCCTAGCAGAAGTAAAGGAGTCACTGAGACACGCTCTTATGAACACTTTCACTGTAAAGATGTATCTGTTGCCATCCCTTGGCCAGGCATGGCTGACATCTGGGGACAAAGAGATGCACAATTGAATGATCAAAATTGTTTTGTCGATGAAATTTCGACGGCTAATCATCCTCCTACACCCGTTGAGGAGCACAGTGGAAACGAGGGTTCATTATCAGCATCCGGCTGCACCAACAGCTCTCTCCATGGAACCATTTCTAGTGCCACCAATAGCTACTTCTTTGACAGAATCTCAGCTACATGGCCTGAGGAAAAACTACTTACGACAACTCGGACCCGGAGCAGCCCCAATACGAGTGTGGACTTCTCTGGGGTTAACCCAAACATGTCAGCCTGGGGTATGGTGATTGTAACCGCTGGGTTACGAGGTGAAATTAGAACTTTCCAAAATTTTGGGTTGCCATTTCGAATTTAATTGGGTAAGGAACCTCATGGGTGGTGGGAAATGAGTTGATAATGTGTCAATACCATCCATTTCTCTCCACCTTTGTGTACAGAGAGATATTGGTTGAGATTTGTAATATTAGCCAGTGTCATTTCTTTGTTTGTGCCTTATGCTCATGAATGCAGGGGGAATGGAAAGCCACTGCATTTGAGCATCAAGGAAAATATAGAATCGTTCGAAAGAAAAAGCATAACAAAATTACACCCTGAATTAGATTACGACATATTTCCGGTGTCGGAAATTGTAAAGGTTAAGATTAGAGGTGGAAAGCCTATTGAATTGAAAATGGAATTCTTTTACGACATGTTATTCTTCACCAATCAATTCTTATGTTCTTGAACACTGATGTTTGAGAGTTTTGCTTCTATTGCTATTTCCTAAGCCCAATGAAGGTGAGGCAGATAGTTGTCCAAAATAACTGATATAGGAGATAGTTGAAGCAAAAGTTAGTTAATTTTAAGTTATATGTGAATTGTTCGTTTATATTTGATTTTGTTCGAAAGGTTTACGTTCGATTTCTCGAAAAGATTCGTTTAGATATTGAAATGAATACTCAAAGCCATGTTTCTTGAACTCGATCTTAGGTATACGTTCATAACATGTATGAATTAAATTAGAATAAAATTCGCTAAAATATAATTTAGTAAAATATTTAGATCTATATGCCATAAATTATTTAAACAATAAACAAAATTATGACATAAAAAGATATTAATATAGTACAAATGCAGAATTACAATTCATCATCATTTAAATTCGAACTTATTGACTGACTTCAATAGTATAAATTGTTATTTGGCTCAATGAGCTTAATTTTAACCCGATTACATGTAACTAAATTGAAACCCAAAATGTTTAGGCCTTACAATAACATGATTTGAACTAAACAAACTTTAACGATGAAGAGATACGGCTTCAGCTTGACTGTGGCTGGGAGAAAATGACGGAGGAAACCCAGAGAAGAAGCAGGCCGTACTAATTTAGGGATAAATGAAGAGTAAAAGAGCTAAGCATTAAAGTGGAAACCAATTGTGGAGCTGAAGGATTTGGTGTCAGTAAAACAGTAGAAGAAAAGGGGAAGGGAGAAGTCAAACCGCTGCAGCTTGAAGAAAGGTACGGTTCTGGAGTTTGAAACAAAGATAGTGTTATTCTAAAAAGATTTCAGTTGGAGGAACCGTTGAAATCGGATTCCAACATCAGCCCCCTTTAATTCCCCTCAAAACTCCTGGAATTGGGATTCCCTAGTTTATGATTCATAGGCGACTTTGATAGAACAAATATTTTGCCCCATCATATTCTTTGTCGTATTTTGTCCCTCCTTCCCATCTAAGATATAGTTCGAACCTCAATTATTTCACCCAGGTGGAGGTATCTCTATGCTTCCTCGGTGTCTATAATTGATTTTGGTGATTGTTTAACATATTAGTCGGTACCTGGTGAAAATGATATCAACTTTCTGAATTTCGTTGACAGATTCTTTTCTAACCCCAAGCAGTTATGTTTAGAATGCTTCAGGGTACATGACTTTTGGATGGAGAGGCATGACATCCCACGGGATGAGGGTTATTAACGCATTAATGGTTGTATATGCGCTGCACTGTGCTGTGGCGTTAAGGAAATTGATATTAGATTTATGAATAAAGGTGTTCCCACTTTACCAACTCCTCTGTTTACCAGTCACCGGTGACATTGAACTTGATCGGAAATATGAAGGTTCCATCTAACACTTGTTTGCCAAATCTGAGGACTCTACATTTTGCATGCTCCAAGTTTCAAGATGGTTATTCTGTTCTTTGGTTAATTTCCAATTGCCCTGTCCTGGAAAATTTGGAATTTTTTCGTTGCAAGTTTCTTGACATAAGTGATCTCAGTATCCATAACCTTTCCCTTAAGAGGTTGGTTTTAGATTTTTTTGGGGTGCATATTCATCATCACAGAGGTTTCAATGTCATCGAGATTGATACCCCAGATCTTGTTTATTTCAAATATGTTGATACAATGGCTGAAGGCAATAGGTTAAGTGACATGAAATATCTAGAAAGAGCAGATATTGAAATCACTCTATTAGCTAGTGTGGATTATGAACGTGCAAAAAATCTTCTCAAGGGAATTTGCAATGTACAGTGTCTTTGTTTAGCCATTGAAGATTGTTCTAAAACGGTTAGTGAACTTAGCAATATTAAAGTCATTGTCTTTAACATTACATAATGGTTCTTTGTTTTTCATGTACAGCTTTTTCCGACGCCTCTTGATCCGGTGCTTGCATTTAACAACCTCGTTGAACTGGAATTTCGTAATCAGTATAATGAAGATTGGCAAGGGACGTGGATTGTGGAGTATCTACATTGCATGCGTAATCTAAAGATAAACTGGACATGGTATCACGGCTTCTTTAAGTATCATTTAAGATTTAGTGTACAAATTTGATTTTTTTTTTAATTACCTACCGTGAATACTCATTGTCATGGGAAAATTGAGAATTTAATTGATTGATTTAATATTTATATTTAATTCATAGTCCTTTTGATTATTGTAAATTAAAAGATAATTTTTAATTTGAATATTAATAAGATAATTATTCTTTTAATAAGTCAATTTAAAAATGTATTTGTTATCTTTTTAATTTTGAATATTAAAATATAATTATATACTTTTATACATTTTAAATTAAAATAATATCTGTTTAAGTTAGAATAGTAAAAGGAGTTTACCTTTTGACAATTGTAAATTAAATATATTATTTAATTTGAATATTAGTATGATAATTACTCTTTTAATATGTCAATTTAAAAATGTATTTGTTACCTTTTTTAACTTTGAATATTAAAGATAATTATATTCTTTTTATATATATCAAATTAAAACGATATATATATTTTAGTTTGAATGGTAAAAGGAGTTTTATCTTTTTGAATATTTCAAATTAAAAGATATTATTATCTATTTAAATTTGAATATTAAAAGATATTTGGTTGGATTAAATCTCTCTTGAAAATCCCCTATAAATAGTGAGCAAATATGTTAGATTTTTCACATCTCAAAACATCCGGGAATTCAACAACTTTTCTTCTCTTGAAAAATATTTCTCTTTAGAAAATATTCTTTTTGTTCCTTAGTTTTTCTGATGATAGTCGAAGACAATGATCTTTCGTGATCTTTGCAGATGTGCTACTGTAGCTGATCATAAGTTGTTGTATCTTGTGAGACAGACGACTAACGAACTAGAGTACCAAAAGAGTGGCCGAAAATCTGTCTTAAGGAAACTGTGTAGCGACATACCTCAACTAATTCCGACCGATAGATCAAAATAAAAAGAGTATTTTTCTTTCTATTTAATTTTGATTTACTTTATGAAGTTCAACTTATTTGTTTAATTTTATCAAGTTTGATTTCGTCTCAGATTGTTACTTTGGTCAACAATCTTAAGACAATAAACTCGTTCTATCCATTTAATTTTATAATGATATTTATTCATTATTATTTTTCTATATCATTCTCAAACTAATGCGCAAAATTTCTAACATTGGCTACTAACTGTTTTGGTATCAAGTCTATCCACAATTACAAAAAAACTCAAGAACACATTAAACCCTGCTACAAACTTTCGCTTATCTCTTTATTTTGTATGTGTTAGGTTTATTGATTAACCAAAAACTACCAAGAGGGGGTGAATTGGCATTTGATTGATTTGTGGTGGAAGCAATTAAAATTAAAAACTTTGCACAACAAGTTAAAGTGGTTTAACTTCTAAATCAAGTCTACATTCAATACCTTAGCTATTCACACTAATGATTTCTCAAATCCATTAGATTTGCAAACCTTTAAGGACAAGGTGTAACTTTACAATGACACACAAGGTTTATACCCAAAATCTTGTTTACACTCTCTCCATAAGAAGAATTACAAATTTAGCAAACAAAAGAAAACCTCACAAAGGCAAATGAGTTTGTAACTAATTAAGTACACACCCAACTTACACTTGAGCAAGAATAAACAAGAAGTTCACAAGTGTATTTACAAAGAATATGACAATTTAACACTAAAAACTCTTGATGTTGCATTTATTTTGCAATTGACTTTCTTGTTGTTCTCTATTTAAATCTTGGTCCCTTTTATATCTTTTAACATTAATTTAGTCGTTTGGAGTCGTTGGGGAATGAATAGAGCTTTTGGATTCATTAAAGATAAGCATTTAATGCTCACCTGCACATTTGATATCGAGACTAAGACTTCCAACAGTCAAATTTATAGCCGTTAAGCCTCCAGTATCGATATTGTTTGAATCAGTATCAATACCCACCCATCGGTCTCGAGATTGAGTCTTGGTATTGATACCAAAATACATTCTTTAATTTTGGTATCGAGAATGATTTAATGATCTCGAGACTGGAAATGATTTTGACAAAAATCAAGTGTTTTGAGCTTTAAAAACAATGTTTTATAAAATATGAATTATCTCAAAAACACTTATGATTATTTTTCACATTTAAAAAAAATTTAAAATCATTTATAAAATTGAGAAATATAAATTTTAACAACTTAAATAATTAAAAAATTATGTTATATTAAAATCAAAAGTTCCTTTATGTTTGTCATTTCACATCAAGGAGATTGTGAAATCAATTACTTAGACAGGGACAAGCATAGGTTTGAAATGATTAGCTATTTATTGAAACATACATCAGTTCTGGAGAAGCTTGTATTTAAAATTATTGCTCTGTGAGAGATGTGAAATCGTCACTCCCTGATATTTCATTTTTTCCCTTCTGTTTTGTATTGTTTTAGAGAGACTTAATTTTCTCAACTGGTTTGTTTTTGTGTAACACTTTGTTGTAAGCAGCAAATGCTATGTGATATTATTAAATTTAGAGCCTCGAAATGCTTGTCACCTGAATCTTTGCTTATGTTGGCTGATCTAATTAATTGAATGAAGTGTGGATCTTAGATTCTAGATGGTGTGATGTTGTATAACCTTCTTTTGTAGATTGATGGTGATATGAATATCTATCCCATCCATATTACATGGTTTTTAAGACACTGCCTAAGATAGATTGAGGGGAGGGTGGCAAGAGATAGTTGTTCTTCTTAAAAAAAATTTAAATTATTATATGTTTTAGATTTTTTAAATTTTTTATTAATAATATATTTTCGAACTTCGAATTTTATAAATTAGTTCCCTTCTAAAATTTTAGAAATTCATTTCTTTAATACAAAATTTTGATTTTGTCTCTGACTTTAAACAATGCCTCCTTGTTTATTATCTCATCTCAAAACTTTTAGAGGGGCAGACATGTATTTGAAATTATTAGTTGTTTCTTGAAACATGCATCAGTTCTCGAGAAGCTTATAACTCTGAACTATGAAATGTATAAGGACAGCGATTTTATTAGTGATGATCAAACTTGACTTAAAAATTTGATATTTTGAATCGACTCAATTTAAAAATATATGATTTGATTTGACTTCGAGTTGTAATTTTATAAACTCAACCCGAAATATTTTTAAGTTCGAATTAAGTTATAAAATAGAACTTGAATAACTTGAATAATAGTTCGACTAAATCAAAACATATAGTAATTAGTAGATTGATTTTCAAGTTTAACTCGATTCCATTGACTCTGTATGGTATATATATATTACATATAAAAAAATATGAAGATATATATAGAAAACTGTTTAAATTAAAAAAAAAATATCATAATATTATTAATATTTACAATTAATATAAAAAACGAAATTCAAACAACTTGCTCAACTCAAATTTTATAAATTTGATTTAACTGAAAAAAAATAAAATCAAGTTTAAACTATAAAATAAGACTCGTTAACTTAAATAACTCAAAATTTGTTGACCGACATTGGATGAAACATCACCCTAAGTTATACATCTACTACAATCTTTGGAAACTTGAAGCTCTTGTTGGGCCTGATGAGCTTAAGTCTAGCCTGAATGCTTGAAAACAAATTGAAACCCAAAACGTTTAGAGGCATACAATATAGCATGATTTGAACTACCTAATTTAGACCCCAAAAGAGTCACCGTAAACCCTAACGAGGAAGAGATACTGCTTCAGCTTGACGGTCATTGGGATGAGAATTACGGAGGAAACCCTGATCACGTAGAAGAAGCCAGTCCCTACTAATTTTGGGATAAGCAAAGAGTAAAAGTGTAATTGCTGAGCTGAAGGATTTGAGGTCAGTAAAACACTAGAAGAAAAGGGGAAGGAAGAAGGCAATCGGTGCAGCTTGAAGAAAGGTATTGTTTCAGCTATCTTAGTGACAGATTCTGAAATTTGAAACAGAGATAGTGTGATTCTAAAAGAGCTTTGTTATAGGAACTGTTGAAATCGAATTGCAACACCCTTACCCCTTAAGGCCCCCCCAAACTCCTGGAATTGGCATTTCTAGTTTATGATTCATGGGCGAGCAAGTAAAGTATATTCTAGTCTGGGATAGAATAAGTAATTTTCCCGATCATATTCTTTGTCGAATTTTGTCGCTCCTTCCCACCAAAGATATAGTTCGATCCTCAATTATTTCACTCAGGTGGAGGTATCTCTATGCTTCCTCACTGTCTATTATTGATTTTAACGATCGTTTACCACTTTACTCAGTACCTGGTGAAAAAGGATTACAGCTTTCTGGATTTTGTTGATAGATTGTTTTCTAACCCAAAGCAGTTGAGCTTAGAATGCTTTAGGGTACATGACTATTGGATGAGGAGTAATGACATTCCACGGGATGAGGGTTATTTACGCCTTAATGGTTGGATATGCGCTGCACTGTGCTGTGGTGTTAAGGGAATTGATATTAGATTTATGAATAAAGATGTTCCAACTTTACCAACTCTTTTGTTTACTTGCCAGTCACTGGTGACATTGAAATTGAATATCAGAGTCAGAGGTAATATGAACGTTCCATCTAACACTTGTTTGCCAAATCTGAAGACTCTACATTTTGCATGCTCCATATTTCAAGAAGGTTATTCAGTGCTTATGTTAATATCCAATTGCCATGTCCTAGAAACTTTGGAATTTACTTATTGCGAGTTTGGTAACATAAGTAAGCTCAATATCCATAACCTTTCCCTTAAGAGGTTGGTTTTAGATTTCGGTGAGATGCATGTTCATTCTCAAATAGGTTTCAATGGCATCGAGATCGATACCCCTAATCTTGTTTATTTCAAATATGTTGATACAATGGTTGAAGGCTATACGATAAGTGACATGAAATCTCTAGAAAGAGCTGATATTGAAATCACTCTATTAGATAGTGTGGATTATGAACGTGCGACAAATCTTATCAAGGGAATTTGCAATATACAGTCCCTTTGTTTAGCCATTGAAGATTGCTCTGGAACGGTTAGTGAACTTAGCAATATTGAAGTCGTTGTCCTGAATATTAAAGTCCTTTCTTTTAACAATATGTAATAGTTCTTGGTTTTTCTTGTACAGCTTTTTCCGATGCCTCTTGATCCAGTGCTTGCATTTAACAACCTCATTGAACTGGAATTTTGTAATTACTATAGTAAAAATTGGCAAGGAACTTGGATTGTGGAGTATCTACATTGCATGCCTAATCTAGAGACACTTACCCTGTATATGGTATGAAAGCCTCTCTAAGTATTATTTAAGATTAGTATACAAATTTGTTTATTTTTTAAATTTACTGTGAACATTCATTGCGATTGGCCATTTTAGTATCAAAATATATACACAATTACAAACAAATTTAAATACACCCTAAACCCTGTTACAAACAAATTTTCTTTTATCTCTTTCTTTCTATGCTTAGGTAAGTACTTCAGAAGGGTTCAGGTCATTGCCTACAACAGTTCCTTTGTGTTTGTTATTTCGCATCAAGGAGATTGAAATAAAACACTTTGAAGGAGAGGGGCATATGTTTGAAATGATTAGTTATTTCTTGAAACATGCATCAGTTCTGGAGAAGCTTGTAATTTTACTTATTGATCCAGTGGAGAATGAAGAATCGACTATCATTGAAGAACTATTGAGTTTACCGAAGAAATCAAAGAAATGTAAAATCGTGACTCCCTGATATTTCATTTTGTCTCTTCTACTTTGTATTGTTTTAGAGAGGCTTCATCTCAGTTGGTTTGGTTTCGTGTAACACTTCTTTGTTGCATGTATCAAATGCCGTGTGATATTGTTGTCATTGTTTTACAGTTTCAATTATACATATTAAAATGTGATATAACTTGCACTAGCAAACGTTTGCCTGATAGAATCTGTGGGTGGTTCTGATGGAATATGTAGTTTGCCTGATCATTTTCTTTGCCATATTTTGCCCTTCTTTTCCATTAAAGATACAGTTGGAACATCAATACTTTAACTTAGGTGTAGGTATCTTTCTACTTCATCAGTTTTTTCCTTGATTTTAGTTGTTGCTTATCGCTTATGCCAGAGCCTACTGAAAATGATGACAACTTCCTGAATTTTGTCAATAGATTCATGTAGGTAATTCTAGAATGCTTGAGGATGAATGACCAGTGAGTGAGGAGGGATGGAATTCCATAGGGTGGGAATTATTTACTCTTTAATTGTTGGATATATGCTCCGTTGTGGTGTGGCGTTAAGGAAATTGATATAAAACTGATGTTTAAGTATGTTTGCACTTTACCAAGTCTTCTGTTTAATTGCCTGACATTGAAATCGAATATCAATTTTGTTTTGAAGGTCCCGTCTAATGTTTGTTTACCAAGTCTTAAGACTCTACGTTTGGCGTGCTCTGTATTTCACAATGGTTGTTCAGTTCTTAGGTTAATTTCCAGTGGCATCTTCATTGTGAATTTCAAAATATAAGTGAGCTCAATATCCATAACCTTTCACTTAGGAGATTGGTTTTAAATTTAGTTTGGCATTTCAAAGCCATCAAGATTAATGCTCCAAATCTTGTTTATTTCAAATATGTTGATGGAAATGCTGAAGGATATACTTTAAATGAAATGAAATCTATAGAAAGAACCGATATTAACATCACTCAAATGGTTGACAATGATCGTGAACATGCAGCAAATCTTCTTCGGGGAGTTTGCAATGTGCATTCTCTTTATTTAGGCATTCAAGATGTCTTTTAAAAGATTAGTGTACTTGGTAATATTCAGGTCATGGTCTGGAATATGCAACTCTCTTCTTTCAACATTATATAATAGTTCTTGGTTTCTCGAACAAAACCTAAACCAAGTTCTGAGTATTTCGCGGTTCACATTCAACTATAGCAAATTTTTTATCTATTGCTTCTCTTCATTTGTCTTCAGTCATTGCCTTGTGAACATTTCGTGGTTCACATTCAACTATTTCAAGGAAAAAACCCTCAATTTGAGTATACCTGCTCTAGGTCTGGTAACAATAGGATGTGTCGATGTAGTTTTAGCAGATTGAGCAGTATCATCTGAGCTATAATGAGAAAAAGTAGTAGCCTAGTAGGAGGAAATATAGTTAAATTTAGGGGCTTGAGATGCTTGCCGCCTGAATCTTTGCTTATATTGGCTGATCTAATTGATTGAATGTAGTGTGAATCTTAGATTTTAGATGGTGAGATGTTGTATAACCTTCTTTTGTATATTGATAGTTAATAATGAATATCTATCCCATCCATGTTACAAGGTTTTTAAGTCATTGCCTAAAACATTGTCTCCATGTTCGTTTTTTCATCTCAAAACATTTAGACAGGCGAGCATATAATTGAAATGATTAATTATTTCTCCAAATATGCATTAGTTCTAGGGGAAACTCATAATTCGAACCATGACTTTTGTGAGGACAACTATTTTTTTTTTGAAAAGAGCATGTACTACATTTTTTGGAAACGTGACCCTCTTGTTAGGCCTTTTAAGCTTAATTCTAGCACGAATGCCTCGAACCAAATTGAAACCCAAAGCATTTAGAGGCCCACAATAGCCTGATTTGAACTGAATAATTAGAACCCCCAAAGAGTCAACGTAAACCCTAATGAGGAAGAGATAAGGCTTCAGCTTGAAGTAATCGGGAGATGGTTTCGGAGGATCCCCGATTCACATAGTAGGATGCCGTACTAAGTTAGGGGTAAACGAAGAGTAAAAGAGCTAAGCATTAAAGTGGAAGCTAATTGACGAGCTGAAGGATTTGGGGTCAGTAAAACACTAGAAGAAAAGGGGAAGGAAGAAGACAAATCGGGTCAGCTTGAAGAAAGGTATGGTTTCAGATATCTCAGTGACTGATTCTGGAATTTGAAACAGAGATAGTGTGATTCTAAAAGAGTTGAGTTGGAGGAACTATTGAAATCAGATTGCAACACCTATACCCCTTAGGAGTTAAGCCCCCCAAAATTCCTGGAATTGGGTTTCCTAGTTTATGATTCATGGGCGAGCAAGTGGAGTCTATTGGCGTCTTGGATAGAATAAGTAGTTTGCCTGATCATATTCTTTGTCGAATTTTGTCGCTCCATCCCATCAAAGATATAGTTCGAACCTCAATTATTTCACTCAGGTGGAGGTATCTTTATTCTTCCTCAGTGTCTATCATTGATTTTAAATATTTTTGTTTATCAGATATCTCAGCGCTTAGTAAAAATGATAACAACTTTCTGGATTTTGTTGATAGATTCTTTTCTAACCCCAAGCAGTTAAGTTTAGAATGCTTTAGGGTGAACGACTATTGGGTGAGGAGGCATGACATTCCACGGGATGAGAGTTATTTACGCCTTAATGGCTGGATATGCGCTGCACTGTTCTGTGGTGTTAAGGAAATTGATATTAGATTTATATGTATAGATGTTTTTACTTTACCAACTCTTATGTTTAGTTGCCAGTCTCTAGTGATATTGAAATTGGGTATCGGTAATATGAAGGTTCTGTCTAACGCTTGCTTGCCAAATCTGAAGACTCTACATTTTGGGCGCTCCACACTTCATGAAGGTTTTTCAGTTCTTAGATTAATTTCCAATTGCCATGTCCTGAAAAATTTGGAATTTAGTTGTTGCGATTTTCGTGACATAAGTGAGCTCAATATCCATAACCTTTCCCTTGAGAGGCTGGTTTTAGATTTTTGTGACATGTATGATTCTGACAGAGGTTTCAATGTAGTCAAGATTGATACCCCAAATCTTGTTTATTTCAAATATGTTGATGCAATGGCTGAAGGCTATACGTTAAGTCACATGAAATCTCTAAAAGTGCTCATATTGAAATCACTCTATTAGCTAATGTTGATATTGAACGTGCAACAAATCTTCTCAAGGGAATCTACAATGTACAGTCTCTTTGGTTAGACATTGACGATCTCTCTAAAACGGTTAGTGAACTTAGCAATATTAAAGTCGTCTATTCGTCTTGAATAACATGATCTTTTCTTTTAACATTATATAATAGTTCTTGGTTTTTTGGTTTTTCACGTACAGCTTTTTCTGACGCCTCTTGATCCAGTTCTTGAATTTAACAACCTCGTGGACCTGGGAATTCGTAATTTTGAAAATGATGATTGCCAAGGAACTTGGATTGTGGAGTATCTACATCGCACGCCTAATGTAAAGACGCTTACTCTGTATATGGTATGAAAGCTTCTCTAAGTATCATTTAAGATTAGGGATGTACGTCTGCGGAATGGTTCAGGTCATTGCCTACATCAGTGCCTTTGTGTTTGTCATTTCACGTCAAAGAGATTAAAATCATATACTTTGAGGGAGATGAGAATATGTTTGAAATGATTAGTTATTTCTTGAAACATGCATCTGTTCTGGAGAAGCTTGTAATTAAAACTATTGAAACGTGGGGGAAAGAAGAACCATCGATTGTCATTGAGAAGTTATTGAGTTTACCGAAGAAATCAAAGAAATGTGAAATCGTCATAATGTTTCATTCATCACTCTTCTATTCTGTATGTTCTTGAACAGTGGTCTTTGAGAGATCCGCTTCTATTATTATTATTTCCCTAATATTTCATTTTCTCTCTTCTATTTTGTATGTTCTTGAAACTGGTGTGTAAGAGATTCACTTCTATTGTTGTTTCCTAAGCACAGTGAAGGTGAAGCATATAGTTGTACAAAATAACTGATTTTGGTGATAGTTGAAGCGGAAGCTAGTTAATTTTAAGTTATGTGAGTTGTTCGTTTAAATTTGATTTTGTTCGAAACGAGTACGATCGATTTATCGGAAAGATTCTTTTAGATATTGAAATGAATACTCAGAGTCGTGTTTTCTGAACTCTTTCTTAGGTATTAGTTTATAACATGCATGAACTAAAGTAAGGGTAAAATAAGGGTGAAGTACACAAATGATTTTTCGGTAATAGGGTGTGATGCTTTGTTTAGTCTCTAATTAGTAAAAGTTATAAAATGATCATTCAACTAGTTATATGTTTCAAATTCGTCCTTTTCTGTTAAAGAATTGACGATTTTCTCAATTGAATATTAACCCGTTGATTAGGATATTATAAAACTTGATCCTATGATCGTTTGGATTGTATTATATTGATCGATTCTTTGTTTACATTATGCGATCGAGTCAATGCTTGAAATATCATATGATTTTATCATCTTCCAATTAATGGTTTAATGTGCTACTTAGATGATCATTAATTTTTCAATGAAAAATGATAAGTTTGAAATACGTGAGTAGTCAAATGATTATTTTGTTACTTTAATAACATCTTATAGTTGAAAAATTATTTGTGTACTTTACTCTTAAATAAAATAAAATTTGAGCAGTTTTGTGTCATATTCTTCTAAAAGGCTACTGAATTCTCTATTGCAGGTACTAAAGTCAGCTAGCTTTAGATTTGTTCAATTAAATATGAGGGTAGGCTGGGGTTAGAGGACCTTCGTTCCTAGAACAAGGTTTGTTTGTTTTCCCTTATAAGAAATATTTTGACTGGTCATGGATCTTTATAGGTTGTTTGTATCCATTCTTATGTTTTGGAAGGTGCTAGTCTTTGGCAAGTTAGGACCAAAAATCACTTTAGTTGGTGTGCGAGGAAGATCCTTAAACTACGAAATGAGGCTTTTTCTTTTCTTGGGTTTGTGACTAATTAGAGGTTGATCACTTCTTGTAATTGGTCTGAGGCTCGTATTAAAGGTATTATTGTTCCTTGGCATAGGTTAGTATGGTTCCCTCTACTTGTGCTTAAATATGCTATTATTGCTTAGCTTGTTGTCTTGGTAT